AAATTCAGGCAAGCCACAGGAGAAAGTCTTCCTTTTACCGTAGATCCTAAGACATCTAACCCTCCTCTCTAGAGACATTCATTATTACTCACTTCTTGGGTATCCTTGAAAAAATAGTATACACATGTATATGTTTCTCCTTTTTTTGCACAAATGAAATCATTCTATGGAAATTATTCTGTACCTTAATTTTTTCAGTTTTAAATTATATTGAAGGTCATTTGCCATCAGCATATGGAGAACTACCATGCTGATTTTAATGGCTTTATAGTACTGCATCCGATGGCTGTAACTTTATTTACTTAATCAGATTTTAGGATTTGAAAAATAGGTATGCATCCTATTTAGCCAGCAATTCTTTAACCACAGGAGAAATTTTAGGATACTAAGAGATAGAAACTAGTTAAAGGGTCTCATATATACTTTATTCCCTATTAAGCAGATGGAAATTCCAAACAATATATCTTTCCCACACCCCTTTCAGCTCCTTGCCTGAAAGCATGAGTCCCCAGTCCCTGGAGCCCAGAGCTGACATAGTTCCTGTGTGAGCAGAGTCAAATAATAGAAGAGGGGTTGCCTATAACCTGAGAGGAGTTGCCAATGAAGGGAAGAGATATCCCAACCTTTCTAAAAAGCGGTAGGTACAAGATGGAAGTTTCCTCCTTAAGATCAGGAACAAGGCAAGGGTGCTTTCTGTCCTCACTTTTGTTCAGCATTGTACTGGAAATTCTAGCCAGAGAATTTAGGCAAGAAAAGAATAGAACAGGCATTACGATTAGACAAAAAGAAGTAAAACTATCTCTATTCACAGGTGACATTATCTTATATACAGAAAATCCTAAAGAATCTCCCCTAAAAGCTGTTAGAACAAATAAATGAATCCAGCAAAGTTTCAGGATACAAGATGAGCACACAAAATTCTGGGTTTTTTATGCACTAGCAAAGAACAACCCTAAAAGGATATTGAGAAACCAATCACATTGACAGTAGCATCAAAAATAATAAAATATTACGTAAAATTGAGCCAAGGAGAGCACGACTTGTACACTGAAAACCAATGATATATATACATTTGGTTTCCTTCTTTCATATCTATCGATATGAAAGAAGTTCTACTGAAAGAAATTAAAGAACTAAATAAATGGAAAGATATTCCATGATCATAGATCGAAAGACTTAATAGTGTTAAGATGCAATACTCCCTCGAGTGATCTATTGATTCAATACAATCCCAACAAATACTCCAATGGCCTTTTTTTTGCAGAAATAGAAATATCCATCCTAAAATTTATATGGAATTTCAAGGGACTCCAAATAGACAAACCAATTTTGAAAAAGAAGAACAAAGTTAGAGGTCTCACACTTTCTGATTTCAAAACTTACTGCAAAGCAAAGGTAATCCAAACACTCCGTCACTCCAAAACGTTCACTTACGCCCCCGTGGCGGTCACTCTCTCCATCCCAGCCCCAGGGAGCCACTGGTTTGCCTTTTGGCCTTGTAGTTCTGCCGTGTCTAGGACTTCATAGAGGTGCCATCGTGCAATATGTAGTCATTTATGTCTGGCTTCTTTCACTTAGTGTGATGTTTTCAAGATTCAGTCATGCTGTCATATGTTTGAGGAGTCCATGCCCCTCTGTTGCTGAGTATTCCATTGTATGGGTACATTACAATCTATTTATTCACCAGTTGGTAGGCATTTGGCTTATTTAAGGTGTTTATCTTTGTCATTGTGGTTTTATTGTTTTTAAATTTTAGTTTCATTCTGCCGTGTCAAGTTCTGGATTTCATGTATCCCATTTGCAACTCTCTGGAATTCTTGAATCTGTGGAGTGGCGATTTTCACCCGTTGTGGAAAACTGTCTTTTCAGATGCTGCCTCCGCCCTATTCTCCCTCCCCTTCCCTTCTAGAACTTTGTTAGATGCTCTTTAGACCTTCTCCTCCTATCCTCTATGTTTCTAAATCTTTCTTACATATTATATTTTTGTCTCTGTACCTCCTTTTAAACAATTTCTTTAGTACTACCTTCTACAAAAACAAATTTTCTCCTTTCAACCTGCCCCTAATATTTCTAGGACTCTGGAAAGAGCACAAGTGGAAGGCCGCATACTATATATAGATATATTTAAAAGTTAGAAACCAAGCTAGCAAAGAAGTAAATAAAATGTATTCCACCCTCCTATCTTGATGAAGACCAGGTTTGAATTTAAAATTCTTGGATACCTAGAGCTATGGCGCATAGTACATTGGCACAGAGAGAGCTTACTCCCAGCTGCAAGCCCCAAACCCCTCTCTTTCTATCCTTGGCTCCCCATCACACTGCGAGGCACGTTTAGACAGCCAACCTACACATCCAAATTCCATCCATAATCAGTCCCATGAGAGCCGCTCCTGAAGGCACAGTCTACCCTCAGGAGGAGAGACCTGGGGAAGAGGTCTGCTTAAGGAGCTGGAAGCAGGCTTGGGACCATTTGAGCTGGGAATTTCAGGGTCTGTGGTGCCAGGAGCATGATCTAGAAGGGGGTATATAGACTCCATGCAACTGGTCATATTCTTAGCCATGCAGATTCCTTGTGGCTGGATGAAGGCCAGAGCAGACTCCAAAGTACAGGGCCTAAGGCTGGGTCCAAGGGCAATATTATGCTGTTCTCTTTAGCTACGTTAAACCTATCCATTTTGTGTTTTTTTCATGTACTATATTATTAATGTGTGGATGTTCTAGTTGATTCTTTTAACAATCTACCATTTTAGTCATATTTTCTATTCCTTTTTAGTTTTTTTTAACAAAATAAATATGTTAACCATATTTATTTTATATTCTGTGTCTGATTATCCCAATATCTGAAGTCTCTGTGAATCTTATTCTGCTATCTGTTGTTCTGGTTGGTTGGCTCTTGCTTTCAGTGCCTTCTTTCTCTGTGTGTTTTGTGATTTTTGAGCTAATATTTCTTGAAATTTATCTATGTGAAATTCCTCAAAGCCTGGAATAAGGATGAGTTCCTACAAAAAATACTGCTTCTCCTAGGCACCTGAGTATAAAACAAGCCTGGGGCAACTTTAAATCAAATTTCCAGTCCATGTTTTTATAAACCATCCAGAGGTACACATTTTGGCTCTTACATATAGCACGCACCACCATTCCTGGCACATAATCAACAATCATTTTTTCAAAGTAATAAATGAAAACTAAATGTTAGGAAAGAAGAAAACAGAAAGGTAGTACAGGCACACCTTGTTTATTGCACTTTCTTTTATTGCACTTCACAGATGTTGCAATTTTTATAAATTGAAGACAAGACTCTCCACAAGACTCTCCACCAGTAAAAAAGATTAGGACTTGCTTTATTGTGATAGTCACTGTATTGTGATGGTCTGGAACTGAACCTGCAATATTTCTATGATATACTTGTGTAGTTATAAAATAGCTTTTTGAAATTTTAGGTTATGGGGAAAAGTCTTGAAATTTGAAAGTTTTTCTTTCTCAAATGAATTTCTGAGATATTTATCTTATATATTAGACCCAGGCCCAAGGACTTACAATTTGAATCCTAAAGGTTAATCCCAGACTTGTCCTTCTAGAATATAAGAAAAACATTGCTTTGATATTAGCTTTAATTCTTGCCAAATAATGCTGTAAATTATTTAAATAAAATTTTAAGTACTGTGTATCAACCCATAAATTTCTGGCAAATTCATATTCCAATAATTTTTGCTTCCTTTGTATATTAAAAAAACCTACCAACTATGGAAACCATTTTTGCTTGGTTTAGATTTCAATAGCATAAAATGCTTTCTTTTAAAAAATTTGTTGAAAGAAAGCCAAAATGCTATCTATTATGCTGCAGCAAAGTAAAGGAGAATTATATGCTATGCTGATTAATATATTCTTATTTATTTTATAATTATTGTTTTTTGCAATAGTAATAATTTTATTTGTAGCCCCAAATGAATAGTCAGTCCATGTGTATATGATGAAATTTAAGAGGAAATAGAGGAATTAGAAATTTTTATTGTTAATTTTCAAAACTGTAACACTGAAACTAAGCAAGTTTATACCATAAATACTAGTAAAAACTGAGTAAGATTTAAAAGTGTTTTTTAAAATATGATTTTATTGATTTCAGAGAGAATACGGGCGACAAGAGAGAGAGAAACATCAATACGAGAGAAGCGTCGTCGGCTGCCTTCTGCACACTCACTGCTGGGGTAGAGCCTGAAACGGCGGCACGCGCCCTGACAGGGAATCGAACCAGGGGCCTCCTGGGGTCTGGGACCATGCCCGACCAACTGAGCCACACTGGCTGCGCTTCAGGTATCTTCCTAATTAAAGACAGTTCTCCCAGTTTTTGACAGAATGGGGTTACAGTACATTTTCAAAATTTAGATTTTGTACTTTAAATGTTGCCTAAGACTCCGCATGAAACCTGTATAAGGCACTTTTTCCCCTAAAACTGGTATATATACCCTAAAAAGTGTTCTACACCAAAATGTGCAGTACAATATATAGATTCACCACTGGAAACCCTTCTTAAAAGTCAGCCAATGTTGAGTCAAAGATCTTAAGCTATAATGTATAATATTGTGAGCACCGATCAACGGACAGAATACGTTAAGTAGAAGGGCTGGAAGCTCCTCACGGGAGTTTTGAAGGAAGAAGGCCTCGAAGTGCCGAAACCGCAAGAGTAGGAAACACTACATGTCCCAGCATACTTTTCGACTACCATCGACCACAACTCCCACAATGCATTGCTCGTCGCACGCAAGTTTCCTTTGGAGCTGGGGCTTGTAGTTTTCCGCGGTCTTGTCTCGCGGTAAGGCCAGGGCGGTGGTTGCCTGTCCAGTCCGAGGCTATTAGCCGTATCTTCCAGTTTTTGGCAAAGCGGAAACACTTTGGGCTTCTGGACCGCTGGCTTCTTGGTTTCATCTCTTGGCTTCCGCTTTACACAGGTAAATCGTGGAGAGGCTACCATTCCCCACTGCAGGTCTCCGCTGCCTCTTTCTGGGAGCGAACTCGTTCCGATGAAGCCATTTGTCCCTAAGCCCTCGCCGTAGCAGCCGCCGCCCATCCCTCTTTGTGTGCTTCGAGTAGTCGCGGAGCCAGTGGCGGCGACAATTGGTGTGGGTGAAGCAGAGGGACGTTTTCGGGAAGTTGCAGGCGGGCGGATTCTTCCCCATCCCGCCACCTGACAGGTGGGTTGACTGTCCTTCCCGCAAGGCCCTCACGTCTGCTGTGCTCACGCCGGCACTCAAAGGGCGGCTTGGGGGTTCCTGCAGACATCGCCGCCTGGGCCGGCGCCGGGGCGGAGCGGCGGGGAGGGCCCGCTGCGGTGACTCAGGACGGCTGGGCGGGCGAGTCCACTTCCTTAGACTCTGACCCTCCCGACGTGGCTCCTAGAGCCTCGAGGCTCGTCCAGCGCCCACTGGCCCCCTCCTCCGGGGCACTGTCCTGGACCGCGCCCTCTTGGCCGTGACCCCAGGGGAGAAATGACTCCTTTTCACCTTGCTCCGTTTTATAAGTAAAAGTCATTATTGCTTTAGTTGACAGCGGTTTCCCTCACCGTTTGTGTGTTGGAAAGTACCCAAACGTAGAGGCTAGCACAGAACTCCAGAGACATTCGCCTCCTGCGAGTTTTAAGAAAGTGACGGTGTTTAGTCACTGAGGCTCAGGCTTCTGTGACGGTGAGTTGGCCCGTCAGCTGCATGTAGTTAAGCCGGTTTGACTTTGGCTGAAAACATATATTTACTGTAGCTAAGTATATTTGATAGTAAGTGATGGTTATTTTTCCATTTTGCTTGTCCAAAATACTACTATTACATTGCCCTTTTAGAATTTACAGGAATGTTGTGTTTGCGCATTGTTTTTATCAAATTTCTAGGAATGAATGCAAAACTCTGGTAATACATTTGATCTGTATCGTTTAATCTAAGTTAAGCTTCATAATGTCAAGCCATGTCCTCTGTTTGAAGAGCCAGAGATATTGGCGAGGATGTGGAGAAAAGTAGTGCACTGCTGGTGGAAATGCAGACTGGTGCAGCCACTATGGAAAACAGTATGGAGTTTCCTCAAAAAATTAAACATGGAACTGCCTTTTGACCCAGTGATCCCAGTTCGAGGAATACATCCTAAGAAACCCGAAACACCGATCAGAAAGAACTTATGCACACGCAGTGCAGTTTACAGTAGCTAAGATCTGGAAACAGCCCAAGTGCCCATCAGCAGATGAGTGGATAAAAAAGCTGTGGTACATTTACGCCATGGAATACTACGCAGCTGTAAAAAAGAAGGACCTCTTACCCCTTGGGGCAGTATGGATGGAACTGCAGAGTATTATGCTAAACGAAATAAGCCAGTCAGAGAAAGACAAGTATCCCATGATCTCACTCATATGTGGACTATAATGAGCAAAATAAACTGATGAACAAAATAGATCCAGAGACATACAAGCATGGAAGACTGAGGAATCTCAGAGGGAAGGCAGGGGGTTGGGGAGTGGGTGGGGAGAGATTAATCAAAGAACATATAGGCATATATATATCTATAACCCAGGGACACAGACAATAGTATGGGGAAGGCCTGGGGGGGTCTCTTATACACATCTA